ACAATTTTTGTAATATAAGAAAAAAAATTAATTTTCAATAAATTTCTTATCAAGTTTCAGTAATTCAACAAAAGCTTCTACAAATTAATTTATTATTACTCTTAAATTAATTCATTTCATTTTGTTTGTTCGATTAAATAAAATTCGACAAGTAAATGCAGAAGAATTTGTAAAATTTCAATAAATTAATTAAAAGCTTCGTTTTGATTAATTTTATTCATAAATATAATTAAAACGATTATCGTAATACGATTATGGATTTATCGTATATAAGATAATTTATTAAATGATAAGATATTGTCGTCAATATGATTTTGTGTGTGTTTTTTTTTTTTTGTTATATTCTGCAAACAAAATAATAAATAATTCTTTAGTATGGTTTTGATAAATAAAATTAATAATAAAAAAATAATATTATTTCATTCATATATATATATATATTATTATTATTATTATATTAATATCAGTTTAATTTTACATTCGTTATAATAAAAATAAAATATAAAGAAACACAATCGTATAATTAAAATTAACTTACCCCTTTTTGTAATATTGTGTACATTAATATAATAAAAAAAAAAAAATAATAATAAAACAATTATAAAAACCGATTGATTTACTTTTTTCAATTAATCGATCATAATAATAATAATTTTGAATAACTTTAACACTTTACGAATCAAGATTTTCTTTTGCGAATTCAATTTGATATATAAAAATATAAGTTTGACAAGAAAATATTAATAAATGATATTATTATGTGTGCATATATGTGTTGTATGGTGGTTTTTTCTTTCTTTCTTTCTTTCTTTTCTTTTGTGAGAGATAACTTTTTTTAACTCAAATGTTTACAACGATTCAAATATTGTCATATTACACGAGAGAGCATACGATCTGATACCTTGTGAGTAGCAAGAACGACTGAACGACTTTAGAATATTGGAATGTGTGAATGCTGAAGTTTCACGAATCACAGGAGCGCCACTTGGTCGTGCGAATATTCTTGTTGACCTTTTCGTTGGCATTTAGTATTAGTATTAGTAGTTTTTTCTTCTTATCTTTCCTTTTTCATTCTAATAAGAGTATAAGTACTTACTTAACGACGAATAAAAGAATTTGACTTGTTTCTCTTTGTTTCGTTTTGTTTTGTTTGTTTTATATATATATACAATTGTTTTTATATTTTTAAAAATATCTATTTAGAAAATGAAATACCATCTAATATAATATGCTATATACTATTTTATACTATACTACTATAATATCTAAATTATACAAACATGGACATTGATTATGTGTGTCAAAGGGAAAGGAGGATTAACAAATTACATTTCAAATATTGCATTAGATGATGATCTATTTCGTTATTGATGGAACTTATTTTGATGTGTGTTCACGTGTGTGTATATATATATATGTGTGTGTTTATATAACATCTTTACAGACAACTGTGAAGATGAAAAAACAAAAAAGATTATCTCTGATTATTTGAAATATATTAATTTAGTATTAAAACAATCTCTCTCTCTCTCTCTCTCTCTCTCTCTCTCTCTCTTACCTCACTTATAATAAAACGAAACCCGTTCTTATTCTCATACGCATCATTATATTATTATTATTATTATTATTACTATTATTAATTAATAGCACAAAAATCAATTTCGTGATTTTCATATAAATTTATAATGATTTAATACATTTCGCTTTAATATTTAATTTAGCATATTTTAATAACGATTATATATATATATATATGTATATATGTGTTATATATATACATATACATATATGTATATATTAAATGAGCTAAATAAAATGAAAGAGTAATAATATCGCAATTAACACAAGTTTCAAAGTTTTACAGTATACTCTCATGTATAAATCACTGTAATGAATTATGAGGAGCGTGTCTGTGTTTGTCTTTTTTTTTTTTACTATTTTTTTTTTCTTTTTCATATTTTTTCTTTAATTCATTTTTGTCACGCAAATTATCTTGGGCTTTTGACCGGAATGATTAGTAGTAGTGTTTCTTTCGTTTACTTTGTTTCTTTTTTTTTAATATTTATATATATAAGTCCATCTGCTGCTCTCTCTCTCTCTTTCTCTCTCTCTCTCTCTCTCTCTCTTTCATCCCATTATGTATTATAGGTATATGTATATGTATATATATATATATTGATGTTTTTCACTTTGCACTTATTCTCTTTTTTAATTTCCTTATCATTATTAATCCTCTTCATCTTCTTTCATCTTCACCGTCATTTCTCATTTTCTTCTTCATCTTCATCTTCTTTTCTTTACAACACACACAATTAAACCCATGAATTATCATGAGTGACAATTCTCACTAACTTCTCATCAAATTCCATAATTATATTCGTGATCTCGAATTGATCGATCCTTGGCACACAAAAAAAAAAAAAACAAGATCTCATGACAAGAATCACAGCTGGACGTACGCGGAATAATAGAAGTTTTCAAAACGTTAACATATTACAATCCAATATTGGTTGGTGGTTGTTTTGTCGTTGTCGAATCAATATTTTTATGGTTTAAGAAGCTCTCGTATTTCTTTGTGCATATGGCAAAGGAAATCAACGTAACTCGGACTTCCATCATTTCCTCTATCCTCTATTAAGAAATGACGTAATACCATCTCTAACTTTTCCTTTTGTCTTACTATCGTTAACTGTAACAATGAAATGAACAAATAATGAAAATATTTGTATAAGAGACAATGATTAAATGAAAATAATTATTCTTACCCTCATGCAACGGTGTCTCTCTTGTCTTACTTGATCAATTATTTCTCTTATTCTTTTATTTAATGGATTATCCAATATTGGCAGTGAAGTGCGATCTGTATCAACCTTAATTACAGATATTACATCAAAGACAGCCTTCACCCATAATGGAGAAAGCGCTACGCCTAACCATAAGAACATATGCACACTGTTTTCTGAAAAATGAAAATAAACAAAATTATTTTCACAATTTACAGATATTAAGAATAAAATAAAAAAAGATCTGTTATCATATATAAATATACCAAGTAAGTAAGCTCCCTCTTCAGAAAATTTATCAAAAGAACAACGTAACATTTGTGGTAATTCTGTATTATCTGGATCAATGTCATGTAAAGGAAGTAATCTGGGATACATGTAAACAACAGATATTGAAACAGGCATTGTAGCAACCGCTTGCATAACAAATGATCTATCATCTATAGTCATATCAGAACCTACAATTGAAAATATCAAATGAAATTAATAAATTTCGTAATTATTACTATTGACATTAATTTCTTTCAAATATAAACTCTTTCTCTCTCTTTCTCTTACCACCAGATATTGCATCACTTTTTAATATGCAATTAACATACAATGGTAGCAACTTCATACATTCTGGTAATATCAATTGACCTGCATTAGATGTACTAGCACAATTTTTCCTATAAGCTGCTAGCATGTTTGCACATCTAGAAATCAAATTATCTTTGACAGCTCTTGGTGTTGATTCGATTAATTTGAAAACACCTACAAAAATAATATTTTTGACAAAATCTTACGAATAATTTTGCAAGTAGAAAATGTGAATAATTTTAAACTTGTTTAAGTCTTACATTGTTTGGAGAAATAATTAACAATAGCGTCTAGATCACAAGTACGATATAACTCAGTTATTTGAGAAGAATTCTTCAAACTGAGATTTAAAATACGTAATCTTCTAACTCCACCACAAGAAGTATATAATAAAGCTGCTTGTATATATACACCTTCGTTTTCAGCTAATTTATCATCGTGTTTAATTTCAACAGCAACAGCCTAATTATTTGAATACAATTAATTTGTTAAATATTATATATATATATATATATATATAAATTATTATATAATAATAATAAATTTTACCTTATCACAATCTATACTAGGCAACTCCATTTCTGTGGTATTTGACATGAAGAAATGTCCATAGAAATCAGTAGGTCTGACACCCGTAGAAGTACGTAAACGCATACGTGCATCAAAAGCAATTGGTCTACTGATATTGGTAATAATATCTGATACCAATCTGTCACCATCAACATCAGCCTAATTCATAAGTGAGTGCTATTTGCAATGTTATTTGTAATCGAATTTTGTGTATAAACTGTAACTTACTTGAAAATACGTATATTTATAAACTTCACCTCCAGTAAGCCTACATATTTGACCAATAGTTGCTATATCCACATAAGAATTATTAAAAATAAAAAGATCTACGCTACATCCTGCATCGACACATTCTTGTCCTAAATTGTTATAAACGTTGTTTTGTGGAGCTATGAAGTAAAACAAATTAAACATTATTATTATTATTATTATTGTTGGTTTTTTTTTTTTATAAAATAATGTGTACTTTATAAATACACACCTAATACAGATTTTTCTTTATCAGTACCAAGTAACTTGCGATCATCACGATTTTTCAATTTTCCTGGTGCTTCGGCAATAGGTAAAGACGAATGAAATACTATTAATTTTCCTGCGCATTCTGAAGCCTGTAAAACAATAATACAAATATAATTTACAAATCTATTCTATTTATAATAAAAAAATATATGAGATAAATACCTTTAATGCTTCAAGTCCAGCTCGTATCGCTGGTGCAAGAATAGTTTCAGTTTCACGTGTATCAGCAAACATTGCAGGTATCTGTGTCATCAAGCTATCAATAACAACTTCGCTTTCATCGATGTCACATAAAAATCCATCAAGAAGTGGCATAAATACATCTTGGACATCACCCACAACCATCATTTGTGGTTGAGTAAGGCAAGGATTAACATTATAAAAATGTACTGTGTTATTGTAAGTTATGAAACCAACTTTCATATTTGATTTAACTTGATCCACATCAATTGGCAAATGTTTTATTATTGACTTCATTTCTGCACATAATAAATTTACTAAGCCTGATTTAATCATATTATATGAAACATCAATCACAAATACAATTGCTGGTGGTTTTGGTAAAACATTGTCCTAAAAAAAAAAAAAAAGAAAGAAAAATAATTAATTATTAATAATATATCAAATGAATATTAAGTAATATTTATTTTTTTCCCTTACTCTGCAGTATTCTTTTGTAGCAATGAATTCATATGTTCCCAACATTAATTCAGGTCTTTCGTAACGATCCATACGTTGACCCCTATGATCCAAATGTTGAAAATATTCAGCTGGAACTATATTTAAACAATGATGTAATATACATTTTTATTAATCTAATTTAAATGAACATTTGAAATGTATTTTACCTTCAGTTGTGGCTCTACAAAACATGCACTGAAATCTACGTCCAGCATCAATAAATTGCATAAATGGACTCATGTATGCTTTACATCTTACACAACGAACTGGCCCAATTTCACCCATATCTACAATCGGTGGTTCATATTCTCCTTCTTCAGCACGTGCCATTGGATTTATTATTAAAGCAAAAGGGACCATTGTCTGTAAAATAATTATTATTTTAATACGAAAATGGAAAAATATTTCAATATTTTTATATTAAATTTACCTGTTTTAAAATATCTGCATTTGTAGGAACAGTATACATTGTTGATCTAATATATCTGGGAGAAGCATTTCCTTGATCTTGTATTACAAATTTGGTAGTAACTAATGGTGGAACTAATCCTATTTGATTTGTAATAAACACACCACCTTTAGCACATTGATCATCTTGTATAACTTGTATCTATAAAAAAAGATATTTATTAAGATTATGTTCTTCAAATGATAATAATAATATTGATGATATCTTACAGGACTGGGCATTTGATCTGGATCTAAACGTCTGGCTTGTTGCGATTGCATGCCTGATTGATAATTTTCTGTAGAACCCATTGGACCACTTTGATAAGGACTTCTTTGACTTCCATACATATCCTGAAAATAAAATAAAATTATATGTAAGATATATAAATTTATGAACAATATGTTAATGGTTTCTTATAATAAATGTTTACCGTTTGATTGTGGTATCCTGGTTGAGGGTAACCTCCTTGTTGATAATTGGTCATAGGTGTAGGCATTGGACGATTAAGATTAGGATTTGTTATTGCTTGCCCAGACATTGGAGGAGCAGTAGGATATCGTCCTGATTTTTGCATAGGATAACCAGGTAGAGGTGACATATGACTTTGTCCACTTTGTTCTACAGGATACATAGGAGGATGGTTTGGAGCCAAAGCACTTGGCATCATGTTCTGAGAACTAGGTTGCATTGAAGGTGGAGCATTGTGTGACATTAGATTTTGTGAACTTGGTGGCATTTGAGCCATAGTGTTAGACATCATATTCTGTGAGTTTGGTGGCATTTGAGCCATAGTGTTAGACATCATATTCTGTGAGCTTGGTGGCATTTGAGCCATAGTACTAGACATCATATTTTGTGAGCTTGGTGGCATTTGAGCCATAGTGCTAGACATCATATTTTGTGAGCTTGGTGGCATGTGAGCCGAAGTATTAGATATATTTTGTGATCTGGGAGGCATTTGTGCCGAAATATTAGGCATCATACCTTGCGTTCTCTGTGACATTTCAGCTCCAGAATTAGACATAAGGTTTGTTGAACTAGGTGGCATTTGTGCCATCGTATTAGACATCATGCTCTGTGATTTGGGTGGCATTTCAGCTCCAGAATTAGACATAAGATTTTGTGAACTTTGTGGCATTGGCGGAGCAGTATTTGACATCATGCTCTGAGATCTGGGTGGCATTTCTGACCCAGAATTAGATATTAAATTTTGTGAACTTGGTGGTGGCATTGGAGGAGCAGTATTTGACATCATGCTCTGTGATCTAGGAGGCATTTCTGACCCAGAATTAGATATTAGATTTTGTGTACTTGGTGGCATTTGCGAACCAGTATTAGATGATCTCGGTGGCATTTCAGATCCAGAGCTTGACATAAGATTTTGAGAACTCTGTGGCATTGGCGGAGTAGTATTTGACATCATACTTTGCGATCTGGGTGGCATTTCAGCTCCAGTATTAGACATTAGATTTTGTGAACTTGGTGGTGGCATTGGAGGAGCAGTATTTGACATCATGCTCTGCGATCTGGGTGGCATTTCAGCTCCAGAATTAGACATTAGACTTTGTGAACTTGGCGGCATTGGAGGAGCAGTATTAGACATCATGCTCTGTGATCTGGGTGGCCCTTCGGACCCAGAATTAGATATTAAATTTTGAGAACTGGGTGGCATTGGAGGAGCAGTATTAGACATCATACTCTGTGATCTGGGTGGTCCTTCGGACCCAGAATTAGATATTAAATTTTGAGAATTGGGTGGCATTTGATGAGAAACATTAGACATCATGTTTGGAGAACTGTGTGGTGGCATATGAGGCGAAGCATTGATTAGATTTTGATTTTTTGGTGGCATTTGTGCCATAGTATTAGGAATCATATTTTGAGTAGTCGGTGGCATTTGAGCCAAATTACTAGACATAGTGCTTTGATTACTTGGTGGCATTTGAGGTGCCATATTTGACATTAGATTCTGATTACTAGGTGGCATCTTTGTCGAAATATTAGACATCATGCTTAGGCTGCTAGGCGGCATATGTGGCAAAGCATTAGACATTGAATTTTGACTGGTAGGTGGCATTGCTGATGCCGTATTAGACATTAAATTTTGACTATTAGATGACAACGAAGCAGAAGCATTAGACAGCATATTTCGATTGTTATCCGACATAGGACTGAGACATTTTGGAGGCTGATTTGGAACAGGAGAGCTCGATAATTGTCCATGAGTAGTAGGTGGCATAGAATACATAGGAGGTTTTGGTGGACCAGATGTATTTGTCATCGGAGGTGGAATGTTGGATTGCATTTGATATCCAGACGATGGCAAGCCAGAAAAATTCTGTTGTCCCATCATGGTAAGCGGTGGCTTACTATAATTCTGTTGATTCGACAACGGTGGTGGAAACATGTTTGGTTGACCAGGTAATGGTGGCGCATTGATATTAGGTGGTTCTGAATAGTGATGTCCTGGATTTGGCGGTCTTGGTATGGGGGGATACTGCTGCCCTTTAATAGATGGCCCAGACATTTCTCACGTTGTAATATAACCTATACGTTGCGTTAGTTACGTCTTGCAAAATCCTGCGACACCAAAGTTATACGTTAAATATATATATATATAGATCACATATATACTATTTAAATTCAATATGATTTCACATTAAATATTGTACGTCTAGGAAAAGTCAATGGGAGAATATGAACCATGCCAATACAATACTGAAACTCCTACTTACGAGTACGATCAGTAGAATGAGAGAATTATCGTATGTTTTAAGTTTCTAAATGCCCACTTACGTGATTAAACGCATTTAAATCATAACAAAACTTAATATCTTCACTCGAATGTTTACACTTAAACGAAGAACATCCACTCCTCTGTCCAGAATAACTGCTGCCGATGCCACGTAAGGTCGCACTGCGCATGCGCCTGGCGGCACGTTTACGAGACACGTCATAACAAAAATTGGGACAATACAAACAGATTTTAATCGAGTTAATATAAAATATCAAACTATTTGCATTAATTATCATTCACTTTAATATATTTATAACAAATGAAGTAATATTCTAGTATTATTAATTTCTGATTATTTATTATATTAATACTAACGTCAAAGAACTCGTTCTGCGATTGATTAGCTAGTAATTTCTTTTGGCGCGTAATTTGAAAATACATATTCGTAACTATTTTCTTATATTATTTTATTGTTAATGTATACTTTTCTTTATTCACATAATTAACTCTATATAATATTGCAGATTAAAAAAATACAAATAAAAATGATTTATTACCAACATAACATGGTTAATATTTTATTAAAATAATCGTGTTCGTTTATTTTCGTATCTCTTGTAACAAGATAATTCAATACATGTTTAATTTTTATCTAATAATATCGTTCAAACCATTTCCTTTGTTCCATTCAATTATACATTAAATAAATTTAAATAGCAATAAAATAATAAACGATTGTCTTTTAAATAGAATTGTTCATCTAAATTGAAAAGTAAATTTTGCCGAGTTATTGTACATCATACTACCTTTTCTTTTTTTTTTTTTTAATTCGTCATATATTGAATAAAACGTTTGTCATGCTTATGACAGACAAAAAAAAATGTCTTTGTAGACCAGCTGGACAGCTTCATACGTGCAGATGAATGATCAGCTGATCGTATTACGCAACCCCTTTACGCATTCACACCTTTAAATTTATTTCTAACATTGTATCCTCGTTAGAAAATTTTCAACACGTTGATTATCGTTTCAATATTAAATACAAAATCTATTAACACAAGTTCTTTTATATAATATAATAATCAACAGATATAAAAAAAAAAAAAAAGAAAACAAAATGAGAAACGTTACATAATTTGACAGAACATCCTTCATTATAAATTATCAATTGAAAATGATTATAGGAAAAAAAAAAAACATACAGTGAAATTTGAAATAAATATATTACATAATAATTCATGATAATATTAAAAAAAAAAAAAAGAAATTAATCTAACGTAATCAATCAAATGAGAAATTTTTCGACAGATAAGCGTTTTCTCTCAGATCGCAAACGCAAACACTCATGATAAAAAAAAATAAAAATAAAATAAAAAAAAAAAAAAAAATTTGTACATGACAACGATACTGTGTCATATCTAACTAGTATGTATTTAATTTTCACAAATACCAGAGAAAATCATAGGTGGCACTGCATGCAAAGGCTAGGTTCTCGTCCAGTAGCATGACAGCATCCGTTCTGTACGGTGTCACGAATTAGTAGGTGTAAGCGTCTAGTAAATCGCAAATCGGACATCTCTCGTCGGAGGGATCTCAAAATTCTTATTATTTTTCTGTTTCTACAATTGCTGTTGTTTGCAAAACAACATCATCGACTTTACATTTCATTTTATTAATATTTAAAACACCTAACGCGCGTTAAAAGTGCCTAATATAAACAATTATATTATTATTAATAAAATTATCTAAAGAAGAAGAAGAAGAAGAAGAAGAGGAAGAAGAAGAGGAAGATAAAAAATAATAATAATAATTAAAAAAATAAATAGAAGAAAAAAAAAGTGTTAAAAAAAAAAGTACAGTGTGGTGTTAGAATTTTCGTGCTTTTCTTTTTGAAAAAAAAAAAAAAAACACCGAGAAAGAAAGAACATTTTTTCGTTTACTAAAAAAACTTCCGCATCCTCCTCTTTATTTTCTTTCTTAAACGATTCGGAGAAAGAAAAAGAAAGAGAGAGAGAGAGAGAGAGAGAAGTGACTGGTGAGAGGAGAAAGAAGAGAAAAGAAAAAGAAAGAAGAAAAGGAAGTGAGAGAGAGAGAGAGAGAGAGAGAGAGAGACAGAGAGTGAGAGATAAATCGTACGAAGAAGATTCGAGGTAAAACTTCCTGCTGGGAATGTTGAAGGACTCGCTTATCGTTCGAGCATCCTGCCAAGAGGTGGGTAAGTTTAGTTATGTCTTTTCTCCCTTCGTTTTCTAGGATGACTATTGGACTAATATAATTATGACGAAAAAAAAAAAGAACTATGACGGTGACAATTACGATGACTATGACGACGACTTTGTTGTTACGCGCGCCGTTCCTCACCCCCACCGGTGGTTAAAACTCGTCCTTTTTTTATTTACTAATTTATTTTCATTTCTTTTCATTTTAAGTCCCTTTTTCTCTCCCTCGCAAAAACACACAATATACACAAATAAATGTATAATTAATTAGATAATATGATATTTGTTTGTTTGCTGATCATCAGAAAGGTTCGAAACGTTGGGTTAATTAATTCAGTGATGTCAAACTGGTATATAAGGAACACGAGATAATTAAATTTAATTTAAAAGATATTCGTTCACAGATAAAAAAAAAAAAAAAGAAAAAAATTGTAATAAGTCAAAAAAGATCTTTCATCTTGCATAATTGCTGAAGCTTTGAGAGTTTAATGAATCCGCTTCGAGTGTTTGACACCAACGAGTTAATTGATCGAACGTAAAGGTGTGGTTTTATTGTTCTTCTCGAACGATAAGGTAGAATAATTAACAGGATAAATGAAAGGAAATATAAATATTAATAATAAAAGTAAAAAAATAAAAAAAGAAAGAGAAAGAGAAAGAGAGAGATATTCTTAAGACGAGAGATTTTGTAGGAAGCTCGAGCGCGACTGGTTGAGTGACATCTGCATCGAGTTCTACGTCTACGAATGGCGGAACAAATATCGATCCTAAAGTCTCTTTGGATTCTTAGTATACGTGTGTGTATGTGGATATACATGGACTATGTCTGTGTATTCATGTCCGGGTGTTTCTACAGTTAACGTTTTCGTATAAGTGTAGTATAACGTTTGCTAGGCCGGCTTGGTTTCGAGGTCACCGGGACTGATGTGAGCTGCAACCCTCGCGCACTTGATCTCGTTACTTTCCTCCTTACACTGTATAATACGTTTCCTTCCGTATGTGTACATATGTACTTGCTTACTTACTTATTTACTTACTTACTTACTTACTTACTTACTTACTTACTTATTTTCCCTATTCTCTTTTGTCTCTTTCTTCTATTCTTTTCACTACCCCTATTCTTTATCACACTTTATTCAAGTACCACGTATACTTCTAATTCTAATACCACAATATCTTATTTCTCTTAAAACAACTACTTTATTTGATTATTCTTAAATAAAGTCAACATCTTGTTATTTTTTTTATTTTTTTTAATTTTAGGTACACGTGCGTGTACCAATGCAATTTGATAATTAACGATAATTATTTGTTATTTATTTACCTGATTGAAATTATTATTAAATTATAATAATGTAGACAATAATACGTTGAAATCTATCATTTTATACTTGTAAAAAGAAAGATGAACATTTGTAACATCTGTTAGAGTACTAATTAACGAAGCAAATGATTAATGAATGACAGTACAGTATAATTTCTGTCTTACATTTAGCTAAATATATATGTGTGAATGTAAAATATGAATACTCATACACATATTAAATACATAAATATATGTATGTGGTATCATATATGTGCTAGGATAAGCAGAATCCTTGCCAATGATGAAAACGAGTTCTCGTATTTTCGAGCTAATGCTTCTTATTTTTGCACGCGTATTCACGGATTTAAAAAACAAAAAAAAAAAAACAAAAGATGCTTTTTCATAACATGAGAGAAGAGTTTTGTACGTTTTCAACGTTTAGTTTTAAAAAAAACTTTATTTTTTTCTCTCGTTTCTTTAATATTATTTTTCTTTTTTTCCTATTTTTTTTTTTTTTTTAGTTTTTACGTCATGAACGATAAAATAAAAGGCAAAAGAAAAGAAAATAATGAAAAATTTCCTTGAAATTTTGCTGACTATCGT